TATACCCTTTCATCTGTATTCTGCCCCACTCTTGTTAACACTCAGACAAAAGCTTTAATTACTGCCTTTATACCAATCTCAGAAAAAACCCTCCACCCTCAGCTTCCTTGCCCTGCCTGCTGCACCTGTACAGCTGGATATGGTCATCTTAAACACACCTCTTTTCTTTCACTTTCTGTTCTCATGCCCTGCTTCCCTGGTTGCTCTTGAGTTTGTCCTTAAAAGGATCCCTCTCATTCTTCTCCAACTTCCTGTCAGGGTTCCACTGGGCTCTGACATTATTCCCAGTTTCTTTCTCTTCTCCTTTTTACCTCTGGGAAAATAAAAGTCCCACTGCCATCCCCACACTACAATGCTCAGGTCTTACCCTGTAAGTATGACAAAGTGAGTGGCATGCATTACAGTTCAGTTTAGATGGATTTGATATCTTCACCTGAGCTAGGCACTGTCTTAATAAAGGAACAGGCATTTTGGAGTCAGGTTAACCTGAGCTAATTTAGGTGTGTGTGCAAACCTGGAATGAACTGTCACCTAAATACACGTCTTTTTCTCCGCTAACTGTACAGTAAGGTGAGGTGGACTTGTTCCTATGCAGAGCTATGTAGAAATCCCATACAGTCATGTGAATCCCACCCAGGGGCCACCGTCTCACACATAGGTATAAATTTGTGCCAGCTTTCTGCGGGAATCTCAGGCTCTTCATCCCTCCTCCCCATTGCATTTCTCAGTCGCTAGAAAGGCTGTCAGCATCACATTACACAGGCCCACAAAAACAAGGCATCATCATGGATGTGTCTCTCTGTCCTCATAACATGGCTTCATTTAAACCTTGCATATTCTTTCTGACTAACATCTCCAGAAGAGAGGCCTCCCTAATTGTCTTCAGCTGAATGTCTTACCCTGGCTTTAATGGGCAGTGTCAGTAGAGGAGTGCTGTCAGCATCTTCTCCTGTTCTCCTGGACCATGTAAGATGTTCATGTGCCTGGAGCACAGATGTCTTTTTGTGGGCTCTCTCTACTCCCACCTTGCTGACTCTCAGCCTCTAGCCTTGTCCCTTTTCCTACACGTGAGGTAGGTGCCTTTCCAGTGTTATTAACTTCTCCACAAGTCTCACAATGTTGAGTATTTGTTATAGAAGTCCGAATGCAGTAATCACACTATAACCTTGCAAGGGAGGCTTTAATACATTCCTGGTAAATCTTCCAACACTAGCATTCAAATAAAAGTCAGATAGAATGCATCACCTTTTAAATCTCATTGTTTTAGCCATTTTCATTACTGGGGCTGGGAGGGTTAAACTCATGCTTTCCAGTGGGAAATGTCATATTCTTCTGTAAGGATCAGATAGTGTTTTATTTAAACATTAAATAAATGAACCTTAAAGTAGCACAGAGCAATACTGCTCCAGTGAATTCACCTAAAACCATATTTAAGTGTCCCCCTACTGTAATCCTCACACCTCCATAGCAATCCACAAGAAAATATGATTGCAACATAGGGGTGAAAGGTCTTACTTTTAAGGCGTGAACTTAGTGGTGTTCACAAGTCACAGATCTGCCACTGGCATGTGGTGCAGAGTCTCAGAAGGGCTGTGAGACATAATTCACTAGTTTTTGTGTAGGCATTTCAGTCCTGGGAGCAGGTTATATTTAATCATAGGTTGTTCAGCTTTGCTTAATATCACCACATGAAGAACTTATACTTTTCATTTTGTCTATTAAAACATGTTGTACGTGCAGAAAATAAAAGCATTTTGCCTGTCTTCATCTCTGACATATGTTCTTCTGTTTTAAGAAAGCATTTGGTTTCAGGGCATTTCTGAAGTTTACCAATAGGTAACGATAAAGTGCTTCTGAAACATTGTACAAATACCAAATGGTTATTCAAAAATGATTTATGCTTGGAAAAACAATCATAAAAGCTGATTTGAAAAGAAAACAGATTGTTAGCACTTTCTGAAATGGTTTCTCTTTCTACTTCAAGAAGTAATCCATTTAAGATCTTGTTTTAAGGCAAATGAAGCAAATTATTTTTTCCCATTAAGTTTCAGAATTCCCTTTACTGGCATTCAAAAGCACTTAATGAACAGAAATGATTTGCACTGAGACCAAAAAGAATAGTTTTAATATGATTAAAAACATAGGATTTATGGATGCACAGAAGACTTAAAATAATTCCATTTCCTCCACCATCTATATGTTAAATTGAACTACATATCCAATTACAAGGGCCATAAATAAATGTCAGCCTTTGCCAAATGTTTTCTTATGCAACTTGGAATTATTTTGCCTCAATACTTTCCCTGTCCCTCTCACCACACACTAAAAGCTCGGCACAATCAGCAGATATTTACCTTGGAAGAGTGAAGACATGCTTCTCTTGAATCCAGATAAATAGGGTAAAAAAGAGCAGGTAAAACTTCATCTTCGTGGCATCCACAATTAAATCAAATGCAATTGGAAAGCAAAGGGTTCAGGACTCACATTATTGATTTTAAAAACGTTATTTAAAGAGTAGTTAAAATTTAATACTGCTTCTCGTCTCAACTCCAAGCTCCTGGTGGCTAAGTCAATATGGCAGGGCTCCCTAAGGAGGTCCTGCTTGTATTGATGTCATTCACATAAGAGAGTATAGAATACATTTTGGACATTTTCATATTGACAAGTCACTTTGTCATCTCGGTCTTTGTGTTACTTCATTGTGACTAGAATCACAGACATAAGAAAGAACACCAAGCACAAAGCTTTTGTGAACCTCTAATATTTGTGGAAGTCCAGTAGTGTGCTTTGCATCCAGCGCTCCTATAAGACATCACAGCTAAGCATGAAGCTGGGTCAGAGCAGTGGGAATGAGGTTATTAAGTCCAAATAGAAAAATCCTGAGCAGGTAATCTTCTTTTGCTGGTATTTGCTAGCATAGAAAACAAGGAGCAAGTGGGACATATGTTTCTGTGATGGTCTGATATCCATGTATTTTCCATATGTCATACTAGGTTAGCTTCTCAAGAAAAAGTACAAATGACTCTTCATCTCATTATTAATTTTTGCATACCCCAAGATTTGCTTCCCATATCTGTATCCACAGCTGTCCAGACAGGACATGATCAAAAACTGTATGAATTTGACATGTCTAGAATAGATGATTTCCATCTATGTTCTGTTCTTGAACAGTAAATCCAAACTTGACTAGGACACAGCTTATTATCATGGTCCAAGTCCTCTTCTTCCATCCACCAACATAACAGTTCCAGGCATGGCACTGTTTAGAAAACACCCCAATAGCAGCCTTATGAGGAGAAAACTTTACATCTTCAGCATCAGATCCATCCTTATGTTAGCTCTTGGCTGAGTATGTTGTACAGGTGCAGAATGAAGGAATGAAACTGGTTGTCAATATAAAAGGTTTTTCAGGTGAGCGGTCCCCAGAAACAAAATATGGCTTTCTGCCAGAGGGAATTCATTCCAGAAGAGGACTGAAGAGTGAATCAATATGCACACAATGGGGTTATAGCTAAATGCCTGGGAACAACCCTGGAGCTAAGGTTATGTGGATTAGATTTCATCCATCAGCATCCTCTAAAACAGCTCTGGAGTGGTCTGGATCAGAGCCAGTTCTCCAGATAGGCAGGCAATCAGGACTTTGGAACTCAAATGCAGTCCTGGCTTTTTTTTTTTTTTTAAATTCAGGGGGGCAGATCTGTTCTAAGAAGCCAGACAGCTAAGTTTAAGATGACGGCAGAGGTGAATAGTGCTCCCCAGTGAGTACCTTGGAGATAATGTCTCTGAAAATACACCAACACTGAAAATGCCCAAACTAGAGCTGTGCAAAAACCAGATACCAAAGGGAAAGGGAAAAAAAGGCTCACGGGAAGCTATACCACTGACACCTTACCTAGATTTTGTAGTTCCTATTTGATCTTTTCTAGACGTTGTTCAAACAAACAGAAAGTTCTGGTAGGGTACAGAGGCCATTCCCAGAAAGGGCAGTGGGCAGTGCTCTGCCTTGAAGGTTGATATTTAAACCAAAGGTTCAGATGCTCTTTCCTCACAGAGGCAAAAGGAATCTGCCAACATAGGATAAAAGACAGGAAACTTGGTCATCCAGACCCTGTTTTTTCTGGAAATGTCTGATGCACAGATATGAAGAAAAATTTGATCTACTGAGATAGGTTTAACAGAAGAGATTGAAAAGCTGATGGAGCTGGACTGCTGGTATTGAAGGAAATAAAAGGATCATATCTCTACATGTCTTAAAGTGATAATTAAGTGGGAGAAGGGAACACTTTCTGCTATCTATCTGAGAAGAAAGTTTTGGACAAATGGTAGGTGTAAGGTATTTTTGGATGTTGGTTGCTTTTCCAGTGGGTTCTCCAGCTTTTTGTAAAGCGACAGTTCACATGGGGTTTGAAAGCTGCTGATTTCCCACTTGCTTTTGGTTTCTGGAATACACTGGAAATATTTAATATAAAAAAACCAGAAAAATTAGTCTTTAAGGAAACTGATGGCAATAGAGGAAATTCTGAGGGAAGGACAAATCAGAGCCTTGTGGTAGCTAAGGCGCTGCAGAGGTTAAAACACAATGAACAGTAAATGTAGAATGAAAGATCTAAAAATAAACAAAAAATAAAATGGAAGATGTGACTGGGCAGGAGGAAGAAATGTATATCCCCAGGCCTCTTGCTTGTCTGAAAGCCTCAGAGTTCTCATAACTCAAAGTAGGACACAAACCCACTTTCTCTCAAGTATGTGCTGGACATAGCTTATTTAGATCTGTCATCTTCCTCCTTTTTTACCTTTCCATTAGTATTTAAACAATGCAGTCAACATCCTCCTCACCATCTCTGGTCATTGTCCTTGGGCGACTAAATGGCAGCTTCACACTTACTAGAGCCCCTAGCTCCGTCCCAGCACCAGAAGCCAAAATGTTTGAATCTGATTGCGTAAAATGAAGTTCCTGGTCAGCATTCTCTTGTCTCATGCTTTAGGAAGAGAGAATCATCTCCTCTATCATTAGCCCTTCCCACTGCAGATTGCTATACATGAGCAAGCCATTTCATGCTGCTTATATAGACACTGCAGAGAAGTGGGCATTTTTTGGCAGCAATTTATCTGTGGCCTCTTGTAGACATCTCAGCATCTGGTCTTATTCATGGCCACTGGAACTGGGGTGACTCACTCAGAGGTAGGAGGCTGTATTTGTTCCAGTGTATCCCATGGATTCTGTCTATCTCCATCCCCTAACTTGAACACTTCAGGTCCTTATTATGTTCATAAGCAATATGCAATGTTCCAGGCTAGCAAAGTAATAAATTAAGATTTACTTGCTCTACCTGCAGCAGTAGGTAACAATAGCCTTCAAGATTTTCTGAGAACCTGGGAAGTATTTCTGGCAAGAAAAATGCAGTCTTAAAAAAAGACTGTGAAGGACAACTATAACAACAATTGAGTTAAAAAACCATTTCATTTTGATAATTTCAACTGTTGTTTGATTTTTTCCAAGGCTTTAAAAATAATTTTATTGTAAACTAACTTGCATTTCAATGCTCTATTTTTTAAGACCTGGAGGCAATAAGATTGAATTTAGAAACTGTTGCAAGGGGAGATTTTAGTTGAATTTGAGAAGATTTAAAATCTTCCTTTCTTGAACAAATTTATTTTTCTCTAATTGGAAAATTCATCAAAACTGATCCTTACCAGGAACCCTTTTTGCTTCTGCTGAGTCAGCATTCCCTGGTGAAGAGCTGCTTGATCAAAAATTCTGTCTGAGTTCAAAGGTTTTCCTGCACAGGGATTAATTATTCCTTCTCCACTGGGTAGACCATGGGCTATGCTGGCCTGGTGCTTGCAAGTGTTACCACAGCAGATGTGACCAGAAGCCTTGCAGTAATGGGAAACAGTTCCATTTTTGTTCGTTTCTGTTAACTTTTAGTGTAGCTTTGGGAAATGCACAGGCTTTTATTTAAAAAGGATGAGCAGGTCTTAGCTTTCAGAGCAGATAATAAACAAAGTATTCTCTTGATTTCTTGGTTGAAATTATGCATCTGGGAATAAGGACTGGCAGTATATGTAGCCTTCTGATGCCATTATTATATTGTTTTTTAAAATATAATCACTCTTGAAAAGCAATTCTAAAAGAGATTTTTTCACTCTTTTGGCTGAATGCTGTCTCTCCTCTCCCTCTGCACATTCACATGTAACACCAGTGTCCTCTGGACACAGCATACTAGACTAGGCTCTGGCACATCTTTCTGTGGTGGCTTAAGATGTCAGTGCTCAAAAAGGTGGCAGCAGAAGGCCAGGCACCTGTGTCCCTGCTAAGCCAGGATGTCTATCATTGCTCAAGCACCCTCTGCATCAGCATATGCTGAGATGCTGGGCTGTGCCTGGCTGTTATTCTGGGCTCCTGCAGCTGCTCTTTCTGGCGAAAGAGCACCAGACCCCAGAAAGCTGTCATGTGAAACATATAAAGCAGAAACTTCTTGAACTGCTGCAGCCAGGTGGTCTCGAGCAGTTGCAGCACTGCCACTGAGTAATCTCAGTGACTCCCATTAGCGGCACCTTTGGTTTTCAGCAAGTGTCACGGGATTTCCTTTAAACTCAACCAGGACCTAAATGTGGCTATCTTCTTTGATCCTGGGGCTTGCACAGTTTCCAGCAGCAAGATTTTAAATAACAAGTCTCATCTTGCATCAAGATTCTCAGATCTGAGTCTGTATTTCAGCATGTGCTAAAGCACACGCTAGGTTGCTGCTGTCTCTTTGTAATAGTAAACCTGTTAACAAGCACACTGAAAGGGCAGAAGAAGGGGAGGTCAGCTGTTATCAGCAGCCACATCCCTCAGATCCTTTCCCTTGTTTGGGATTAGAATGATCTGTTATTGTTTTGATCCTCCAGAATCCTCTCGTTTCCAGCTGATCAGGGAGTCCTTTCAGGGATGGGTAATCATGCTGATGCATCCATGGGACTGAAGCAGAACACAGAAGCCAAGTGAGTCTGTGCTGTCCTTCTTGTTTCTTTAAATTCAGATTCAAAAGCAAAATAATCTGAAAACCATTTATAGGCCCTTGCCTTTTTTTTGTGCGTTATCATTACTGATGAGGCCAAAGGTAACCAGTTAGCATCCCTCCTACATAAAGCAAAAGATGACTAAAATCTAACTAAACTCTGATCTCTGTTGCTTACTGTGTGATGCAGCTGAGTGCCATGTCTCATGAACCACACAAAGATGCAATTAGTATAACAGCTCTTTATTATGAATGCAGCAGAACAGAATTAGAACTCAATTTACAAGTCCCCCTTTCAAACCCATTCAGCCATTAAGGCTGCAACATCTTTCAGTCTTCCAAGGCATATAATTGATAAATGATTTGTCCCTGCACACCTCGGCTCCTCATCTTTATTCATGAACCAATTAATCTCTGTAGGACACTGTGATCATTTACATATATGGCCAATGTCACCAACCTCTGTCATTTCATTCAGGAAACAATTTTGCAGCCTATGAAACCACCAGGAGGGGAAAATGTGGACTATGTCTAAATTTCTGTGGTTCTGGCATTTCTCCCTCACGTTATTCTCAAATATAAAACTCACATGCTATGTGTGCTAGAAAATTATGGGTTAACCTGGGAGGAAACAGACATCTTGTCCCTGGGTGAGTGCTGGCAGGCAGTGGCTGAACCTGTATTAGTACGTTGTTTCCACATGTTCTAAAGTTTGACAAGCCAAGGAGGCATTTTGACAGTCCAGGTCCCATTAATACAGTTCACAACCTCTAAAATTAGCAGAACCTATATTTCTAGAATCTGGCTCCAACAGCAAAGTTGGGAAGTTTCTAGAGATATTCTGCAAGGTCTGATCACCACATGGGCAGCATTACTCCATGTGGGTTTGAGAAGCATTATGGGACACTGAGGCCACATTTCCCTTATGTCAAATGTGATTTGACAACACAGCAAGCAGTGGAGGTAGGGCACGACCTGCATCCCTCCTCAGAGATCTCTGTTACTTTTCACTGCTGTGGCTGATTGAGCCTTTCACTGTCTCATAACTTAACCACAGGACAGTTTCACTAGCATGCAAGCAAACGCAGGTCTTGAGGAGAAGGCATGTAGAGGTTGATGCTCCTAAAGTTTATCCACTGCCTCTCAGACATGCAGGGTGTTCTGCTCCAGGGCTGCAAAATCAAGGGAGGGCACATTGCTGAGGGGCTGGCCAGAAGATACGTCCCCACCTTAGTGACAAACCAACACATGCTCTGAGGTGTTCGGTTTGCTTAACTGCAGTGAAGAACCAGGACAACTTCATAGGCTGCCAAAGGAGCCCGGCAACAGGACATTGCTTTTCTGCCTACAGGAATCAAAGCAGCACCATGCTTGTCACTCACCTGCTAGGAGATTTCCCAAGTGGATGTGTGGGGTTTCTCTCCATGCTTTGTGCATTTACAGATTTTCATTGCTGTATTTCTTTAGATCCTTAACAAATGCACTGAGTGCCTCTCCTGAGGGAGTTGAGTGTACCTATGCATGATTGGTTATGTAGATTTCTGCTCTTTTCACAAATTTAAGACATAGCATTACCTGTGAACACATGGCCTGTGTCAATTCTGACCTTTCTCAGCTTTGGACAATTTTTCATGAATCAGTAATAGTAGTTTGCATCCTCGGAACAAATTGGGTTTCCTGTGAAGCACTGTTGCCTTTAAAATGTTATAAGGGCACAAAAAGTAAATAAGGTTCAATGAAAAACAGTGCTTAAAAAAATATAGTCATTTTACTCAGTGAAAACTAAGCTGTGTGTTACTTTCAGAGCAGCAAATGAATTGTCAGGAGAATGACACAGTTTTCCTGATGGCAGAAGAGAACTGACACTGAGTGCTGACTAACATAAAAATTATAAACAAAATGAGAACATTTTTAAGTGATGTTGGTCCTAATTCAGAGTTTTCTCACACTAAGCTGTACAAAGTCCACAGATGTCACCTTACACAGAGCTCCTCTGTTTCATATCCTACTTAAGGAACAGCTCCTTAGGTTTGTGGGTAAATTTTAGCTCCAATGTTGCTCACCACACAGCATGCAACAAGAGCCGGGCATTCAGTGGTGGTGCTAATCTCTGCTGCTTGCCCTATTCGCTTGCCTGAAAAGCACTGGACTTATGTGGCTGAGCAGCCTGAAGAAAAATGCTCCCAAATTCTTGTCAAGACTGTTCTTCAGATAGTGGAGGAGGATGCTAGAAGTAGCAGAAGATAGAGAGCTGGAGAGTCACATTAGCAACTCAGCACATGGGTTTTCAAGATCAGAGGCACAAGTATCCATTTCTCCATCCAGCTGAAAGCACCAGTAGCTGAATAGTTGCTGTAGGACCAGTGCTGCTCATGTGCTTTTTGCAGCCATCTGCCAGAGACTGGATCCTATTTTCCAAGCAGAAGCCAGATCAAAGCTGCTGGTTGGTTAAGCAGCAATGGACACCAGGACCTGAAGTTTGTGATTAGGCTCACAACAGAATTAAGCTGCACTTAGAAGGATGAGTGATGTCAGGTTGGGCTTTTAGTTCAGTTCCAACTCTGGAGGAAGTAGAAACGTATCTTTACCTGTACAAGACCACACAGCAGCCAGCCATACTGCTTGCTGACCCCTTCCTAAGGCCAGAACAGATGATTTCTAGCTAGGATAAATGATTTACAAGAAGGTGTAAAATCCTCATCATGCACCTAATTATACTTTACTACACTATGGGGGGATATTTCCTTCTGAGTCCATCTGGTGATCAGACTGTACCCTGAAGCATGTGGATTGATTGCCCTCATGTTTTTTTCTCCTAGTTAGTCTAACTGCTGATGCTTTATTTTTATTTGTATGAATGTCTAAGCCTTTTTGAAGCATTGAAAATTATGATTAATTGTGCAATGAAAATCAATAATGGAAGTGCTTACAAAGCCAGCTTGATTTGGGAATGAATCCCAAAGACAGCTGCTTTCTCTAAGAGTGATGGAGAAAGTTGGAGAAAAGCAACAGCAAAAAAGTCCAGACCCTGGTGGGGTTTTTTGGTGATGCTTGTCATAGGCTTAAACCCCTTCAGCATCTGCTGAGAGGTTTGTTACCGGCTGATGTTACCGCTTCACGAAAGCAAAACCTCAAATCCATCAAATAAACAAGAATACCCAATTAAATAGAGATGCACTGAAAAGTGAAAATGTTTATACTCCTGTACCCATACCCTTGGGGTCATGACAGATCCATTTTTCAAGAGAGATTCCAGGGATAGGGATGAAGAAATGGCAAGGCATTTACTATAGTATCCCTGCCAACAGCACTTACTCTCTTTTGCACACTGACAGGTGCTGGCGTTTTGCCTAGGTTAAGTATCCAATTTTCTCTCTATTCTCAGAGGATCCCATTGTTAGAGCTCATGCATGCCAGTTTCTAGAACTCCATATAGAGTGAGTGCCATCTCGTGGTTAGCTCTCCCTGCTGCACTGGGCCAGGGCTTGTGCCGGGGCTCTCAGCGCTGCTGCAGAGCTGCACGTTGGAGCTCAAAGGTAGTGCTCCCAAAAGCAGCCTGGAGGCAGGGGACTAGATAAGGCTCCAGTGCTAGGATACTAAGGAGGAGGAAAAACAGCCTCTTTCACAAAACATTCTTCAAATAAGAGTGTACATCACCTGGCCTCTCTCCAGAGCCTGAGCTAGAGTCAGCTTTCAATCTCCAGTGCCCCTGAAGTCCTACAGGGTCTGAGGTCTTAAGCTCTGCTAGGAGAGGTTTAGGTTGGATATTAGGAAGAAATTCTTTACAGAGAGGGTAATCAGGCATTGGAATGGGCTGCCCAGGGAAGTGGTGGATTCTCTGTCCTGGAGGCTTTTAAGATGAGACTGGATGTGGCACTTAGTGCCATGGTCTAGTAACCATGGCGGTAGTGGATCAAGGGTTGGACTTGATGATCTCAGAGGTCCTTTCCAACCCAGCTGATTCTATGATTCTGTGATTCTATGATCTTGCCTAGTGGAAATGCGTGATGTGTGAAAGCCTCCTTTCCCTGCCTCTCTCAGCAGGCTCCTCTAAAAATCCTACCCCTATGCAAAACCTGAGTTGCTAAGGGCTGGTGTGGAAAATGCCTAAAAATCCCTTCTAGTCTCTGGGTATAGCAAGTGACTCCATTCATTTGGGATCAACAGAAAAGTCACCCCTCTCACCCTGGCACTGCTGCTGTTTCCCATCTGTCATCTACTTCATCTTTCATGACTGCCCCTGAGTCTGGGGTGAGACCATCTCCCTGACCAGGGAACGCAGAGCAGGGCTGCCTTCAGGCACGATTACCTGGTCATTTCAGATCTATACCATCTATCCAGCTAAAACGGCCTCTTCAGTTTGCAAACATACACACATGTATGCAACATACATGAAACACATGGTCATCCCACCCAAGAGAATTACTGCAGTCACAGGTTCTGCTTACACTTTCCTTTCTCTGGTGTTCCTCTGCAGGGCTCCCAAGTCAATCATAAGAGGAGAACAGCTGCTTTTTCAGTGCCACCCCTCTTCTTTGGCAACAGCAGGTCCTATCTCTGAAAACAGGAGGAGTGGCGTAGGGGCCCCTCCCTGGGCAATAAGCTGGGGTGATATCTCCATCGTATAATACTTAAGATGTTCTCCTCCTTTATATTGTGACTGGATAGGATGGTCTTAGGATGCTGTACCTTTCCTACCCTGTATTAAATACATGGGCTTATAAGAGGAACAGGGCAGTCAGACCTTATCAGGAACAGGATCTGGCCATTACTGCAGAAACAAAGCACATATTTGCATTGCAGAATGCTTAAAGAAGTTTATCGGTACATGAGCAAAGGAAGAGGATGATGGGGATGGTGCCAAATGGGGAAAATCATACTGCAGGTCCAGCCAGCACAGTGTCCCGCCTTTGGCAGTGTCTCAGAGTGGCATGTTCAGAAATAGCCTAGGAAATAATTCTTCCCACTCTCTGCAATCTGTGG